ATTGCAAATCATAAATGAAAATAATCCACAGATACCCTTTTTTTTTGTAATCCCTAAACAGTTGTCTGTCCTGGCCAGTTTTTGTAAGGTCTTTCAGAGATTTTCCCCACCCTTTCTTTTCTCTTTAATTCCTGTATATCAAGAAACTGGAAAATGAGAGAATAATGGTTTCAGTTGACTTTGAAATGTGGGTCTGTGCTGGGATGGGTAGGCCAGAAAAGAGAAGGAAAAATTGCCTGTTAATTGGAAGGTTATGCCAGCTAAGCTTTATCAGTATGAGAAGACATGCCAAGGTTGAAGCTCACTCCTGGTACCAGATGATTAAGAAAACTGGTTTCAGATTAAATGAAGTAGGGGAAAGAGAGCAAAGTTATTTAGGGAGAAAGTTTGGGACAACTTGGTGACTGATTGGTAAATTCCCCCTAGAAAGGTGGATGATGGGTATAAAAATATGAAAGAGTGTTTAGTTTAGTTTAGTTTCTCTTAGGACAATGCTATGCTCTTCTGCTGCTTTGTTACCTGGTATGTACTCTGCATATGTTCTGGAACGATGCTGGAGTTCTGCTTTATTGCAAGTCATAGGTTAGGATAGCTTTCTTATTTTCTCTGGGAACTGTCTTGAAACTGCCTTTGCTTCAGACAGTTTTGAATTTTTATTTCCTCCACAACTTTTTTGAACTTCTTTTGGAAATTCTGGAACTACTTTTTAAATTGCTTGAATTTTTCCCCCTTTCACTTCTGTTTGCAACACTTTCAATAAAGAAAACAACATTTTATAACAGTTTGGTTATTTTGAGAAAAGAGGGTTGGGATACTAAAGAAAAGCCTTACCTTGATCACCTACAGGATTTCATTGATTTTGTAAGTATTTTTGGTATTCCTACCTGGCAGGGTTGCAAGTTATAGCATTCTACCTTGTGAATTTTGATAACTTACTGGAGTGCTGAAGGAGTTAAGAGTAACTCAAGGTAAGGCATAAATACTGGGCAGGAAGACTTTCCCCAGCAACTTGTTGAGATTCTGATATGAATATGTATTAAATATAAATGTTGTATAGTGTAAGTAAAATGGCTGATTTTACCTGAGTCATGCACTGATTGTATTTAGCTGTAGGTACCAAGATTTGAGACTTCATGTTGTACAGCTGTTGTACATGATGCAACTTTATGTAACTGGAAAATGAAGTAATGTATTTTCTGATTGGTCCCAGAACAGTATATAAGTCATGTGTAAAGGGGACATTTTATCTGCTGTAAATCAGATCACTTATTTCTATGCTGTGTGTTACATCTTGTCATGTTATGCTGCCATATGAATGTCTATTCTCTCTGTATATATGTTAACAGAATAAGTTGGTATTTTACTCTCTCGGTGTTATGGTGTCTTTGCAAAGTGATATTTACTAACTCTGCTTATGTCCTGAGAAAACACATTTAACCAAAATTCTCAACACAACCAGCTTGTCTGACCCTCCTAGAAGTTATTTATACTAGAAAAAGTTTGGGGATTGTGGCTGAATGGTTGGTGTGGGTATCTCTGTACTGGCCATAATCTTGATAATATCTTTGCTATATTTACTAGTGGGTGAGCAGGTTTACAAGATTGCCGTCACACTTTTTTAGGTTAAAATCCTTATCCTCAATGCAAATTTATGGGTACACAGGTTTCGGTATGAGGCCCATTTGAGAAAGAACATGGACACCAAAATACCATTTCTTTAAAAATAGTATGATTTGAGTTGGACAAGGAACAACTCAATACCATGCATGACTACTCACATATAAGTTTATCCAGGCTCAGGGACACAAAGTGCAACTCAATTCTATGTCTGTCTGCTTCTGTTGTTAAATTAAATTAATCTGGGATAAAATTCCAGGTTCTTGAGAGCACTTTCAGAAGGCTGGCTTTTCTCTCCCAAACCTTGTTTTCATGTACGATGCAGCAAAGCTAAAGAGACTGAAATTTCAATTAAGATAATTAAGAGAAGCACACAGTAGTCTCCCAGTGAAACAAACGACAAATGTTAGATGTGGTAATTCCATGAATTATTCATAAATAAGTCAATGCTCTGAAATTAATATGGGCTAAGAATATAGCCTACTGCAGCTCTATACAGATGATACCATGAGAAAGATGACAGGAAGAAAATTGCTTTATTTGAAAAACAGTGCTGGAGAATTCTCTAGGGATATTCTGGAAGAACAAGTGGAGTCTAGAGAGAATCAGGCCCAAACATCCTCTGGAATTAAAAACCGCAAAACTGAGGCTATTGAACTTTGAGCACATCATGAGAAGGCAAGAAAAGACAATAAAGTTAGGAAGAGTTGAAGACAGGCGGAAAAGAGGAAGATCAAATATGAGATGATCAATGTCATAAAGGAAGCCACAGCCTTGTGTTTGCAAGAGGTGGGCAGGCCTGTTGAGGAAATGACATAATAGAGGTCACACATTCATGGGGTCACCATAAGTTGGAAGTGACTTGATGGCATGTATCAAGGAGCATTTTAGCACAACCACCTCCATTCCCAGTTTCATCACATCCCTACACTTAGTGGTAGATAAGAGTGAAGCAGAAGAGCTCCACTACCTATGGACATTGTCCACAGAAGCCTGACTTCCTAGGATCCTAACTCTGTTGGGTGTGCACACAGGTAGAGGATCTCTTCCTTTCTGGATTTCAGACCTCCAAATATTGAAGTTTGATAGATGTGAAGATGTAAAGGGCTGGGGTTAGTGTGCTCGTGTTTTTGTGTGGCCCATATACCTTTATTATTGTGCCTAAAAAGAAGTTCAAGTCTTTAGTAGGAACATATTAGATGTAAATAATTTCACCCATCTCATGATGACAAGCAGTGCTTCTGTACTCATGCTTCAAAAGCCTGGAAATGGCTCCATGTTGGTGCACAATATTGTGCCTGCGTTGCCAGGAGGAAAAAGGATGCCAGACTTCACCTAACAAAAGGCAGCCTGAAGGTTGACAACACCAATGGCAGCAAGTCAAGATGGTCTACAGGATACCCTCTAGACATCACACATTTGTATTCACATCCCTGGGAACATGATATGAATATTGGCACTCCAGATGCCTGGAAAATCCAGACTCTCTCCCTGAATCAGCAGGCCCAATTACCAGTTGTCCTGTGGCACACGTGGCCAGTGTCATTTCTGTCACGCTGATCGTGGAAGTAGCCCAGCTAATGCTTCTCTGCCTTACCTTAACAGCTAAGTGGGAAGACTCACCATCCCACCTCCTTGCCAGAGTGGTCAGATGTGCAAAGAGGCGGGGAAGCACCAGCCAGGCTACTTCCATGATTGGTGTGACAGGAATGATGCTGGCCACATGAACCATGTGGTGACTAATAATTAGACCTGCCGGTGGGGGGAGGTAGGGACTGGATTTTTGAGGCATCTGTGGAGATAATATTCATATCCATGGGGAATATGAATATCCCATGTCAAATACAGAATATGAATATCCCATGTCAAATACTCTCTTCTGCTCACTAGCATCCACAAAGTGACACCAACGAGGGGAAATCCCAGAAGCAGATTCCTTTTCTCATCAGTTAACCACTTTTCACCCAAATCAAATGTCAGGGCTGCTTTTCAACAAGTGTGAATGGTTATCTTTATTCACTGTCTTTCTTTCACATTGTACGTATGATGTTGACTTTGGTTTCTACTGAGACTCTTTGCTAACTCCAACCTCTTCTTCTTTTTTATTTCAAAAACCAAAGGGACATATTTTGGAATACATGCACACAGCATGTCCATAGGAAGTACAGCTTTTCTTCCTCAGCTTGCCTAACTCAAAGAAATGGTTTGGAATAAAGATGAGCAAAATCAAACAACGAACCAGAGAAACTGACGAATCAGGCTGGTTCATGGTTCAATTCATGACCTAGCTCAGGGATCCAAAGTGCCAAACTTTCGTTCACTCAGTGCTTCATTTTACTTTGGCAAAATGGTCGCCTGTCGGCCCCCTCCCCATTGATCCTGTTGCCTCCCTATCTGTTCCTGCTACTGCTGTCGCTGTCTCCATTGCTGGAGGGGGAAGGTGAGAGGTTGAGCATATTAAGGGGGGGGGGACAGGTGGATGAAGGAGCAAATGGGCAGGCACCAGGTTATTTTATTTTTTTAACAAACCTGGTACTTTTTTAAAAAAATCCGGCTATCTAGTAGCAGAATTAAAAAAAAAAAGTAAATGGGGTGTTCACATAAGCAGAATCAATCCCAATGAATCAATTCCACATCCACCCCTGAATAAATGGATCTCTGGCCGGGGAACAGAAACCCTGCTCCCCTGGCACAGTGCTCAGCAAGTGCATGTACTTCATGTGTACCCTAAAATTTAACCATGGTTCTTAAAAGAAAACTTGATAAAACACTGGGAGTGGGTGTCGGTGGAACTGAGCCAGTTGTTAGTTACTTGCAGCGTGGGAAGGTCCCTTTCTCTGCAATTTCTCCTCCTCCCCACCTTCCTCTTACATGCCTATATAGGCTGTCCAGAGGGTTAATTGCATTATTTGTGCATGTGGCCATTGCAAACATACATACTGTAGTTCCCTGCCACTTTCCTTCATTGTAAAGGAGATGAAAGCAATGCACTGCCCAATGAGAAATTTATTAAAGTTAATTGATTCTGTGGGTCTACTGTATTGGAAGTGATAACTGGGTCCAACCCAGGGACCTTTTGTTCATGTCTATGTCTTTGATGTAGTCTGGAAACATTACTATCTTTGTAACAGACAACAACAGGGGTGGGCACATAAAAAATCTGAACTGTGTTCAGGGGCCGAACCAACTTTACTTAAAAATAAAAGATAAGCAACTGATCAGCTTTAGACAAAAAGCTATAAAGGGTTTTGATAATCAACTTGTTCAGTGAGAGAAATCCAGTCTGTCTTGGGCTTGAACAAGTGCTTGAACATCAGACTGGAGCGATGACCGGCGGGCCAGACAGGAGCGGCTCGCGGGCCATATGTGGCCCACGGCCCCCCCCCCATTTCCCTTTGAGGACTGTGCATTACTAAAGATTTTGAACTGCATTGAAGCTGCCAAGTTTTAAAATTAAATCTGGTATTGCTGGTGAGGCCAAGTCCCCCTCCCCTAAACATTCTAATATGTTATGAAAAGCTAGAGATTCATGCCACAAAAGTTTGCTTCTAGTCGAACACTGAGATACATGATCTTCCAACTTCAGCTTTAACTTGTGATGGGCTTTTTGATGTACACATGGGCTTGATAATACACTGCTCTCCAGAAGCTTGGCTGCAGCCCCTATCACTTCTTTCCCTTGGCGGTGCTGGCTGTAGCTGATGGGATCTCCAGTCAACAACATCTACACATTCTCCATATCTGACACACACTAATGGGTTTGCATACACACTCTTCTTTTCAGACAATGCCTCTATTTCTTCAAAGAATTAAATAAGCTGCTTAACCATGCCATTTCTGTTTGCAGTATTATCCTTATAACACTGGAGGCATTCAAGAGAAAATTGGACACACATCTGCCAGATGTGCTTTGATTTGGATTCCTGCATTAGGCAGGGAGCTGGACTCATGGCCCTATAAGGCCCCTTCCAACTCAATTATTCTGTGATTCTATGACTCCTGGGAGGTTGGTCAACCAAGGAGTCACCGATTTGCCCATGGTCATCAGTTTTCAACTGCATATGGCTCAGCTTTCCCACTGTTTATCCTTCCCCTGCAGGTGCATGTTGTTTCCACACGCATCCTATGTCTCTACATACGTCTGGGTTTCTGAAGTTTACTTCCACTTATTTTGTGAAATTACAAGGCGAACACAACTATTTTCTTGAAAAGCAAATTAAACAGTCTGGGTGCAGCAGGATTCAGGCCTAGGGTCTTTTTCGCATTGGGTCCTGAACAATGTAGAGAGCAATGCATCCACCCATTCTCTTCCACTGAAACCTTAAAAATCAAAAAGAGAGAATGGGGTCACCTGCAGTTAAAATAACGTGAATCATATTACAAACTGTAGTCATTTACAACAAATATAAAATATGAATCTTAAAGATAAATGGGCTGATAATGTCTTGCATGTTAAAACTAATTCTGTTAAACTTTTTGGTTTCACCCCAAATGTTAATTGCCAGTTGATTAGAAGCTCTCCCTTTTGGCTATTTGGTGCCCATAAACAATGTTTGAAAGTGGTTGCTGTGGGGTTTTCGGGCTCTTTGGCCGTGTTCTGAAGGTTGTTCTTCCTGACGTTTCACCCGTCTCTGTGGCCTTTCATGATAACAAAATACCTCCCATCTCTCTCTCTCGCTCGCTCACCCACTCACTAAGAACTGCAACCACAAACTCATAATATGGGAGTTCAGGGAAAATATTGCTTAGTTGAGCACCCCATGATACAGAGAATTGCAAAAACATGGAGAAACATTTGTTATAATTTGAGTGCCATGGTTCAGGATGGGCAATTTAACAGGGGTTAGGATGGATTAAATCTGTGACTTGATTCAGGACAGTTAAGAGAAGTGATAATTTTGGTGGCAGTCTACTCCTGAAGTAGGCTGTGCCCCTTTGTGTGGTTGAGCCAGGCCAAGACATTTTGCTGCCTGAGCTTGAATCCCAAGACACAGCGGAGTGATAGATATTATTTTGCACAAATTCCTCTACATTCCTTGGCATTCAAAAACAAAACAATAACAAATTAATGTAACTAATTTATAGGGTCACCATAGGTTGGAAGTGGCATATAACAGCAGCAGCAGCAAATTCATTTTTCTTTTCCCTGACCTATCATGGCACTTAAAATGTGCTCCCTGAGGGGGTTGTCTTATCCTATGTAATGTCAGAAGTTCAAAAAGTTCTTATTTTAGGGACAATGTTTCCCAAAATCTGTCAGCCTCTTCCATTCTGGTTGGGGAAGCCTTGGAGTTGTAATTATCCTGGGAGTTGTAATTCAGCAAAGTGACTTTTCCAAGTCTGACTTAATGGTCGGGCCAGCTTTGTATCTAATCCATAGAGGTCTATGCCTTAATAAATAACTCTTTGTTGATGCTGCTGTTGTTTAGAGATGGGGACAAATTGGAAAATATGGAGCTTCATCAGGATTCGTCATTTGTCAAAGTTGACGAAGCACCAAATTTTAGCAATGAATCAATGAATATTTGTTGATTCATTGTTAAGACACAATGTCCCGTGGAATAGCTAATTGGTGGGACATTGACAAGCAGGCTGGCTGTGGGAAGGCAAATCCTGGTTTTAGTTCCTGCAGCCAGCCTCCTTGTCAATGACCTGACCATCAGCTGATAGTTGGGTCATTGACAAGCAGGCTGGCTGTGGGAACTGAACCCAGGTTTTGCCTTCCCACAGTCAATCTGCTTCTCAATAACCCAACCATCAGCTGATTGGAAAGACACTGACAAGCAGGCTGGCTGCGGGAAAGCAAATCCCATTTCCCTTCTGCAGCCATTCTGCATGAAGGAACCAATAAAAATGTCAACATTTGTCTCTTTGTATTTGTTGGGGTCTCCAGACCTGACAAATACGAAGGGACGAATATCCCACAAATCAGGAATATTTCACAAATATTGCTATTTGTTGTTTTTTTTAATTTGTCCCCATGTCTATTGTTGTTGTTATGTGCCATCAAGTCAGAGCTGACTTATAGCCACCCTAAAAGGGCTTTCAGGGTAAGTGAAGTATTTAGGGAATGGTTTAATCAGTTCCACCATCACCCGTGAGTCTCCATGGAAGAGTTGGGGAATCAAGCCCAGGTCTCATGAATCCCACTCAATTACTCTACACTACACCACACTGGGTACAATTCTTCATTACTATACTAATAAAAAGCAGAAGGGGCAATGAGACACTTAATACCTATGTGAGAATAAGGGGGAAAATGGATCAATGATAATATCCTGTACGTACGTCATCTGGGCTGGAATGAGAAGGCTGTCTCCACTTTCCAAAGTCAGGGTTTTACTGTCAGTCATAACAACAGACGTACCTTCCTGAAATGGAAGGGAAAGAGTAGGCTTGTAATTCCTCTAGGACTGTCATTATCAGGATGAAAAGAAAGAATAGCACAATATAGGAAGTAGATCCTAGTGAATTATCTGTCATCGAATGTATCAGAACTCTAATGAGTTTGCAAGCTGAATTCGGAATGATACTCTATATAGTAGACCTGGGCATGAACTTCAGCAGTTTGTGCCAGTTCGTTTTTCAGCTGAACGGGTGTCCAGCACTTCCCAGTTTGGGTGACACCAGTTTGGGTGACCCCCTCAGAGGCAGCGCCTGGAGAAGGAGGGGCTGTGAAACCGAAGTGCTGCCTCTGTACCAGGTGCCCAACGGAAGAGGAAGGCCAAACACTTGTTTGGCCAAAATATGAACCAACATGAACCACCCAACTTGTGGTTCATGCCTATCTCTACGGGTGAACCATTCAGCCACACATATTTGCTAAGTAATTTACAATTTACATGTTGTGTTCCAAAAGTCCTAGACAGTTTGCTTTCAGATGACAACAAGCATAGAGGGGTTATCAAGAATCCAGATGTGACTAGTGGCTCTTACTACTGGGCTTAACAGCTAGTTTTCTTTCTTCTCTTTTTGTTGCTTCTGATTAACAGCAAATACACACATTCAAGTGTGGTTCTTGGGGAAGAAGGAGTGAATGACTCTACCAGAAATTCTAGCCTTTGGCTAAGTTTTGCTATTTTGTTGTTTGAGTGACCTACCTTGTCTAGTTGGCATTAGTTTTTAAAAAATGCAACCAGGAATATTTCTGTCCTGGGAAAGGTAACAGGTGGAAACATAAGTACAGAAGCATGCCTATGGTTACCAGGACACTCACTCTCTAAGTGTTCACCCAGCCTGGGAACAAATGGTAGTTGGTCGTCTTTGGGATCAGAGAGTTTCCTTCTAAGGGGAATTACCTTCTTATGGTGAGATAAGGAGGCACTGATTCCCTTACAGATATGACTGATAAAGTATTTTCAAATCAAGTTGAGGGCAATCCCCCATCACTGGTTGATTATTCTCCTGATCCCAGTGCAGAAGACAACAACGGCACAACAGATTGCCAGACTGAAGAAGACCCCCCAGAACCATGGCAGATCAAAGCAAAGCAATGAGCTGGTTGATTTGGTAGCGTGGATATGTTATTATTTGTGACTCCCTGTCTTTGGAGCAATCTCCCCTCCGGCAAAGCAATGAGCTGGTTGATTTGGTAGCATGGAATGTTATTATTTGTGGCTCCCTGTCTTTGGAACAATCTCCCCTCCAAAATTCGTTTGGCCCCTTCGCTGGGCACTTAATTTTTTTCTGATTCTCCATCTTGAATGATAATTAATTGTAAATTGTGGTAAAATTGGTTTATATGTCAATTGTTTTTACTTTGTTGTGAGCTGCCCAGAGTAGACCAAGTCTAGATGGGCAGCATATAAGTCTAATAAATAAATAAAATAAATTATTATTTTCGAAATCTACCTCTCGTAAGCCGTGTTGCACCTTTCATGAAGGAGCATTAATCTTTAATTCCACAAGGGATGAAAATATTGGCCATCTCACAACATTTAAACTCAATCAGCCCTCACATGAAACCTCTTCTCCCCTTTTTGTGCTGCTATTTAAAGCAAGCAGCAAAAATATATCAGAGAGAGGATTCGGAGTAAGTCCACTTCCCAGTAATGGGTGGGCAAAACACTTTAAATAATCTGTACAGAGGAAGTGTGAAGTGAAGTAATCCAATCATGTTTTACAGTCCATAGCTCCATGTAATGAAGTTGTCCTGACCTGACTCACATCTGTGGCCCTGCTAATCACCCAAGCCAGCAGTTAAGTGATGGAACTGCTTGCCGAGAAATACAGGTCTCGGTTGGTTTGGGAAGTATTTGTCAGTCTTTTCTGTTTCTTGTCAGATTCTTGAAAGGCTTTCTAGTACTTGAAAGGTGATTCACTAAGCCAGCAGGGAACAGACAAACTTTAATAAAAGCAAGCCATTAATACTGAAAGGGCTCATCTTTATCATGTCAGAGAAGGGCACTGTAAGTCACTGTATGCCTGCAAGGATGAACAGAGGTTTTGACTGAACAAAGAATTCTATCAGACGGAAGAAGTGGGCAGCACGGGGAGTTTGTAAGCGCTGGAATTTACAGGGAATCAGAGTTAAAAACATTTTTTCCATCTCTCTCATGTCCCACAGAGAGCTCCCAAGGCGATTTGCAATAAAATCAAACTAATCAAAAACAGGCTAAGAACATTCAAAATAAGTTAAAAACATCTTTAAAAATTTTTTAAAACCTTTTTTAAATATATAAAATATTATTGGCAAGACAGTTTTCAAAAACCAGCCCTAAAGACTGCTGAAGGCATGGGTGTGTGCAAAGGTGAGGGCTGAAACATATGACACAAATAGCTTGTTGTTGAGAGTGGTAAAACCTTGAGATGAAAGATGCTTGTTATAGTGTGAGTTTTTCCACACCTCCTCTAACTTGCAAATTAGCTGGCATTGTGGTGGAGGGGGCAGTGGGTGGGTGGTGGCGTTCTTTTTAATAGCCCCCAACGAATCAACTAATAAGTTGACTCACAAAGCAGGACGACTCACCAAAATGGTGAGTTGTCCCCATCTCTAGTGGGCAGCCATTCCCAACCGCTATGAAAACCTTGTGGACTCATCAATGTCATACATATGTTAAAGATTTAAAACATACGATTGTAGGGTTTTTTCCTTGTATACTTCTATGCACATTTTGTTCATATATTTATACATGCACATATTTTTTTCTCCCACTGATGAAAGTATAGTCATATACATTTTAAGTTCATTCTTTTTTTGTGGGGGGCCTGGAAAAAAGCAGAGTTTTAAACAGAGATTAAACATTCATTAGGTCTGGTTCGGCTTCACAGCTCCCTTCAAACACATGTTTGCCCCAGGTAGCTGACTAATATTGCTGCCTGTTAAGTCTTGCTCATAATTTTCAGTCAACGTTCAACTGAATTATAAAATCACAAACCACTTTTAAACTGAGAAGAGAAAAAAATAATAAACTTTGCAACAACAACAGGTCATTTTCAAACGTAGGGCAGAGGAACCAAATCCTGGTACATGCCATAGTGTGATTTTAACAAAAATAAAAATAGATAATAGAATATAATAATGCTTGAACTGCAGAACTGTGTCAAGGAGGCACAGTGGGGATTTGAGCTTCCAACCTATGTCTCCTGCTTAAACCACTGAGCTATTGAGATCTTCACCTGGGATCAAAAAAATATCGTGAATGCCATGTGAACCTTTTGGGAAGGAAACTTCATACTCAAGGGGCTGCTACAAGAAAGGCTTTGTCTTTTGCTGCCACCTGCTTTATCTGTTTAGGCTGAGTGCTCCAACAAGGATCAACAAATAATTGCTGAACAAATCTTCTTTATGTGCTCATAGCCTCAGTTCTTTCAGATTTAATCTAAGTACTAAAAAAACTTGTACATAGTTAGCAAAAGAAGCAGAAAAAAGATCCGGTACCATCTGCCATATCCATATATCTGCCTTCTTTCCTCCTCCTTCGGTTACGCCTGGTCCAAAAATTACAACCTGGGATGAAAATGAAGAAAATATTATGAATATTAATTCCAATGATTTCCAGTCTAAGTTACTAAGAGAAACAGTATGCTGTCATGTAACATCATTTTGCATATGTTGAAAGAGAATGCATTTAACAGAACTTATGCATGACTTTAAAAAATATTCCACAATGGATCACAGCGTTCTTTCTTAACCTTGACATTCTTCTTCATATACATTTCTGATCTTCCCACTTTCTGCCTTTATCCATGTGGAACACCACTTGTGGGATAGGTAATGTAGTTACTCTTAGCCAGAGGCCAGCACTTTGAATTCTTTAGTGGAAGTATTTTTCTTCTCACCAGATAACTAAGAGCTTCCTTTCTTTCTTTCTTTCTTTCTTTCTTTCTTTCTTTCTTTCTTTCTTTCTTTCTTTCTTTCTTTCTTTCTTTCTTTCTTTCTTTCTTTCTTTCTTTCTTTCTTTCTTTCTTTCTGTTCTTGTCTCTCAGAATATATTGCATTCCAGAAGCTAGACTGCAGTACTTAACTTTTCCAGTAATGATATTTGCAATAACATTGCCCATTTTCCTCCTTGATGGAATGCTATACATATGGTCCACAGATTAACATTCCAACCTGTGTGAGGGAGGTGGGGTGGGTCAGAGCTCAATGGTAAAATACATGCATTTCTGCTGAAGATCCCCATTCAGTCTTCTTGGCATCTCCACCTAAGAGGATCAGAGTGCAGCACAGAAACAACTCCTGCCTGGGGCCTTGATGAACAGGAAGTCAAATTTGATAACACTGAGATAGATAGACTAAATGTAAGAGCAAAAGAAAGAATCAGAAGCATCTATAATGTATATGTGTTAATGTATTGTCAAATGTCCTAACTCTTAAACCTAAAATGCCTTTCCCTTAGGAGAAACTTAGTCAGTTCTTTCAAACCCAGGCCACCTTGGGCTCTTTTTAAGGAGAAAGATGGGATAAAAATATTTTATATAAATAAATAAAATAAACCATTCAAGTGGTGCTACTTGAAATTAATTGTTTAATAAAAATCTTCTGGTAACCTTTTCTTCCTTGAATCTCTTTTTTCCTCATAACTTCATCACACCAAAATGTCCTTCCTATGCCAATATTTTCTAAAAACCTCTTACTGCAGTTTTTACCTAGGCTGGATGTTAGACCAGGACTGAATTCAGGTTGCACAAAGGTGTTGGTAAGAAAGCTGATTTAGTCACAACTTGTAACTTGATTCTGTACAGCTTTAAGGCAGGCCTGCTGGACTCACATGTCACAGTCCTATGGCCCATGTGCAGCAACATGAACAGATAGTCACATGAACAAGACTAATTGGTATGTCGGCCAGCTGTCATGGCCCTCACTTTCCTCAGATCAGGTAAGCAGGTGTGTTCCCATGTGAAAGCTTGGTCACATGATGGATGGCATGTGATAAGGGGAGAACAGCAGCGTGACTGTAGTTTTTCCCTGCAGAAACTGTAGTTTTTCCCTGCAGAATTTTGGTCATAGAGGCGGAAGAACATATCCTACCTAAACCAATGCAGGCTCCGAGCATGTTTCGGCAGTGCGGAGCACCATTGCTTCTCTCCCAGGATATTGCGAGACATGTTAAGTCTTGCGAATGCGACCTGAGAGGCGAGGGGGGAAGAGTACACTATTGAGGGAGCAATCCCCCCTCCCCTCAGTGTCTTCCTTTTCTGACAAAGAGAAGGAAAATGCTCCGCTGCCTGTGCCTGTTTCGTACGTGCAGCTCCCTTTGTTGCGGTTGGAAGGGAGGTTGCATTGGCACATAGTGATTTTTGCTTCCTTAGCAATAAGCAGCCAAGTTGTTGGGAAGGGGACTTTCTCTATTATTACTTTTTTAAAAATGCTAGGAAGGAATAAATCCTCACAGCAAGAGTGTGAGGCGCGGCCGCTAGGGCATTATATATATATTGATATAGATATATAGATATAGATGTATGTGTGTGTGTGTATAGATAGATAGATAGATAGATAGATAGATAGATAGATAGATAGATAGATA